AAATATTTATACATATATATTAAACATACTGATTTTATTTTTCTGGAGAACTCAAGTTAATCACGGACATAAGATTGTGGTTTTTAATTTATAACAAATAAGGACTCAAAATTAAATAAAAATAAAAACCTACCCTCTACTGTCACTGTCACTTTATGAATAGAAATTATGTCCACTCCCATAATAGGAAAGATGTAATTTCAGAATAAATGGCAGTTATACTGACAGAATAAATGAAACAGATTTTCACAGTGCCTCTCATCTTCATTTTCCATGCACAGGTGGAACTGTCCAAGCCAGTTATCAGGAGCTGAACTGCAGATGACCCAAGTTCTGATTGTGTGGCAAAATCATCCCTCTGTTACCCCTAAGAGAAATATTTTTCCCTGATATAAGAATGTGGGTAATAAGATGTCAAGACTTAGTCTTTTTTTTTTTTTTTTTTTTCTACAGACAGTACATAGAGAATTGTATGACTGTTTATGAGCCGGGTTGATTCTGTTGTCTTTTCTTTTTCATCACAGATGATCATAGAAATATCTTGCTGTAAAGCACCTCACAGTTTCTTCTGAAATGAAACCACACTTCCTTTCTATTCTTTTCAGCTCAGTTCTGCTGTTCATGCCGGGGCTGGGGAGATTTTCCATCACAGGCTTCTTAAAATTTATGATCTTTCTAGGGTATGAGCTTTCAGTTCCCCTAACGAGCACCAAGTTCAATGCCACTCTTCACAGATGAGAACAGAGGCTATGGGAGGTGGAACAGTGCCCAGCAGTGACAGAGGAGGGTTAGAACCCGAGTTCTCCACTGTCAGTGTAGCAATGGCCTTCCTCTTTATAACTTCCTCTTCTCTGTCATCACTCCCCATTCTGTTGCGTCTTTGCCCTAGAAGAGTCCTCCTCCGTCTACATTTATTTGCCTTTGCTTTAAGTTGCAGATCTGAAACCGTGTGTGGCTTTGGCTTGGCTTTCCTTCACATTCTGTATACTGACTAGCCTCTTATAAACTGCCTTTTATGCAAGATACACGCTTCCCACTTGCCTGTGTTGAAGCTTGATAACCAAGTGACCTACATTGTCTTAGTCTCTCATGAAAATAATTGCTTGAAAATTATTGCTTGAGTTAAAGCTACAGAATTCATTTTTTCCATTATGTTATTTGTAGTAGCTTTTCAAATTTCCCGTTTTTCCCATGTTTGAAATTTTATCTATTGGGTAAAGGCTCAGAATTTTCTGAGCCACAGATTTATCTGTTTCAGATTCTATTTCCAGTAGTGCTTTCAGTTTCGTTTACTCCAGTTACAGAAATAATCCTACTCTGTATTTCTAGCAACAAAATCTGAATGCAAATTGAGAAATTCTGTCAGTGGCAAGTCATGGACCCCTCTTCTAAATAGCCTGGCAACCCTGTCTATTGTAGCCAGGACCTCTCTTCTCACTCCTCAGAAAGCAGTTATTTAGCACATCTCCACTTTTGAGCCTCTGACCCTGTCATCTTTTCCTTTTCTCCAAGAAAAGAGAATCAGCCAGGTGGAGGCTTTCTCAACTTACCCTCCAGAGAATCTTCCTCAAACACATTCATCTGCAGTTTTGCCTTCTCTCCAGTGTGAAAGTCTGAGATGGTCCTAAACTTCTTGAAAGACAAAACATTCTAGATGTGTTCTATCTCTTCAGTGCTTTCACACCCAAGCCCTACTATCCTACCTCTTTACCCACACTTCAATTCACTGTGACCTACTTTTGCTCCTACTTGTCCATTACAACGGTTTTCATTGAATTTTTGGTTGCTAAATCCAATGGACACTTTTCAATCCTTATTAACCATGAGACCATGAGGTGGAATCCTTTTCAGTTGACCAAGAAAGTCTTGTTGGCTTTTGTATCCCTTGGCCCAAAGCCTATAGGACTTATTAGAGTTCCTGGCACGTAATGAAGTCTCAATTTGATGAAAAAAATTTAAATGGAAAATAGGCAGAAGCCAAATAGTGAAGGCTTTTAACACTGAACTCTGGGGATTAATTTTGACTTTATGGGCAATGGTAATCTAGAGAAGTATGAGGAGGAAAGTAATAGTATTATTACATCTTTTGGGAAATAAACTGAGGTGGTGGATGGTTTAGAGCAGGGGCTTGCAAAGAGCTACGTAGACCAGCAGCAACAGCATCACCTGGGAATGTTAGATAAAAATTCATAGGTCCCACTCCTGACCTATTGATGCAGAAACTGTGGAGGTGCAGCCAAGTGATGTATGTGTCCCATGAAATTCAGAAGAAACAGAGACAAGAGGTTATCAAAAGCCTGAAATACTCATGGAGGTGTTGTGAAGAGTGGGGTATGTGGAGAAATGTATTCAGTCACTGGATGAAGGCCTTAGGCATTTTTGGGATAACTACTGATTTACTTTTAGAGGGCTTGCAATCCCAGTCTTGCTTCTGAAGTCTCATTCACACAGTCATTCAACAGATGATTACTGGGCTGAAGGTCATTTAGTATTACCAGGGAGAACACAGGGAAAGCCCTGAGCTAAAGTTACTATCTTCACTGTTTCTATTAGATCGCCTCTTCCAAGATCCTGGTAGGTACAAACCGTGAGCACTTTCAGTAATTAGTGGAGCACAGTGAGAAGTTCTCTGATGTCACCCCAAGTATGAACAATGAACACATTTAACAGGAAAATGGACACCCACATTACCAAAAGATTTACTTCTTCAGATTTTCCCATCATGTTCAGCTGACCAGCAGGCTGACCATGTGGTCCTGAGGGCTCTCAGCAGTACACTTTTTTTTTTAATTTTTTTTTAATTTTTATTTATTTATGATAGTCAGAGAGAGAGAGAGAGAGAGGAGAGGAGAGAGAGAGAGAGAGAGAGAGAGAGAGAGAGAGAGGCAGAGACACAGGCAGAGGGAGAAGGCTCCATGCACCGGGAGCCCGACGTGGGATTCGATTCCGGGTCTCCAGGATCGCGCCCTGGGCCAAAGGCAGGCGCTAAACCGCTGCGCCACCCAGGGATCCCAGCAGTACACTTTTAAAAACCAATTTTGTTAAGATCTCAGAGCAAGAGAGCATTGGACATGGACCCAATGGATGAAGTGAGGAGTAACTGAGTTCTCAGTTACAAGCTGAGGAAAGCAACAAGTTGACTTAGGCTGAAAAGGAATTTATTTCAGTGGGCAGAAGTCACCTCAGGAGGTTTGGAAACCAGCAGGAACAAAACCTGTAAGATTCATGGGCAGATTTACAGAGCAATGGCTACTCAACACCAGGTGCCAGGAGCTTCCCTCTTGCCTCCACTGGATACTGGATGTTTCTCCTGTTGATAGGCATTGCTGCTCTAACATGGGTCCTCCCCTAACCAGATTCTCTGCTTTGCCAGTCAGGGTGGGGGTCTCAGATGCACGAGAGACTGGGATTAAGTTTTTGCTTCTAGTGGTAAAGGTGGTTTGTGCCATTTGAACACTGGAATGGAATTCAGATGCAGAGCACTGAGAGAGAGAGAGAGGGAGGAAGAGAGAGGGAGATGGAGAAAGGGGGGGGGCAGGGAATCCACTAATATAAACTTGCAAGTCATGTGCAATTTAAGATCGTAGTGATCTTACATCAAGATCCTAAAAGTCAAACCTTTCAGGAATAACTCAGAATACCAATATATAAGTCACCTCCCTCCTTTCCATCTGACACATGCACACCTACTTGCTAGGCTCTAAGATGCCTGCAAAGAATTCTGGGCTCTATAATGATATTTAAAAATGAGGGAGAATAAATCATTTTATAAGTAGTTTGAAAATTCCCATGAAGTCTTGAAAACTGGGCAGGAACAAAGGCGATAAACGAGCAGTAGGCTTGCATTTTACCAACTATTTGCTCTAGCTTGGAGAATTCAGGCTTAGAAATATTAAGTAACGAATTTCCCCTAACATCATAAAGTAGTTAAAGCTAAAAAGAAGAACGATTTCTTTTGTGGTATGGTGCTCTTTCCAGTACTTTCTCCCAACCAGACTCTCTTGATTTTCATTGCCTCCTCTGGAAAACAAAGTGGTCTGACTTAGACTATTAGGCATCCAAGACCTTCAAGGATGATTACTGTTCTCTTAGCAACCCATTAAATATTTTAGTTCTCAAACATCCCTTGTTTTGTATTCTGCCTCTGATCTTTTGTACAAATGTCCCTGCTTCCTAGTTTTATCACAAAAGCATATACGTTACTTAAAAAAAAAAATCATTTGTGGGGAAAAAGAGTAATTTATAAATGTATTCATAATGCTAACAAGTGACCTTGAATACTTTAATTTCTATTTTTCATTTTCTTTTCAGAGCCAATTTAAACATAGTCACAACAGCTTTATTCTCATTAGCCCCAAACTGGAAACAACTCAAATGTCCATCACAGGTGAATGGATAAACAAATTATAATACATTCATACAATAACAGAAAACTAGTCAGGAAAAAAAGAGGGCACAAACTAGTAATCTTTGTGTTACTATGGAAGAATTTCAAAGAACCCAGTTGAGTAAAAAAAAAAAAAAAAAAAAAAAAAAGCCAGAGGCACGTGAGTACAGTGCATCCAGTATGATAACATTTATGTCAAGTCCTAAAGCAGCCAAATGCAAATTATGGTGATAGAAATCAGAACAGTGGAAGGGAAACAGAGAGTGAAGACACTGGAAAGGGGCACAAGACTGATAGTTCTACAGTTCTGTACATTTGTTAAAACTCAAACACCACACTTAAAATCTGTGTATTTATTGTATGTAAAGTACACTCCAATTTAAAAAGTTGCAGACATCTAGTAAGCCATAGGAATCTTATTTCCTGCTTCTGGGCTCTTGGGACAGAGGCGATATTAACTATTCAAGAGAGATTTTCACCAAAACATTAAGATAAATTATTAGATAATAATGGCTAAGCATAGGCTCCCTAAGCCTGCAAAACAAGACTCTTCTTATAGGTCAACCATTTAAGGGGGAGAGGGGGAAGTATATTTAAAAATATCCACTGAAGCTAACAGATAACAAAATATTTATTTTATTGTTGTAAAATTAAAAATAGACAAGCATATGTAGTTACAGTTCAAGGCAGAACAATACAAATATATAAATTATTGCAGTTTTAAAAGAAAAAATAGCCAAGTAATGTCTAAAACTCTCAAAACCAACTTGTTTTCCACCACTGCAGTTTCATTTTCTTTTCCCAAAGATGCTAGCACAATTTTGTAAAATAAATTTCTAACAGCAAAAAGACTATAATTTCAATGACCATAGCATAGGCTACTCAGATTTAAAATAAGGTTAACACACACATACAACCTGTAAAAGTAGGGATGAAAGCATTTAACACAAGTCACTACTGAACACTCTTTAAATTGCCTCTTTGGGAGGCAGCAGAATGGAAATGGACATTCTACATGTTTGGGAAAAAACCCACATTTACTAAAATTCCTTTTAGGGGTGTGCAGTTGAGGGAAATTCAACTAACCCTTTTTTGGGGAGCAGGGGCACAATATTCATCTTCATGACTTTTTTGTTTTACTTTGGTAAGCTTAAAATTATGTACTAATTCAGTATTATTAAGATGCATTAGTCATCTGGACCCTTTTTAAAAACTAAAAAGGAATGTGTTACAAACTACGTGCTAAGAACAATCATAACGCCAGAGACTTGCTATGATTGATTCATAGCAAGGTGACCAAGCTGCTTACGGGGTTAGACTGAATTCTAACACGAGCAGTTAGGAAGGGAAGAAGTGAATGCAAGCGCTGACATGTAGGACAAGACCTCGTTATCCCACAGTAGAGCCCTCCTCCAAGATCCCTTTTGCTTGTGCTATAGTCCTATTACCTTATTATTCTCATAAATACATTTCCCACCCTTCCACCACAAAACTTAATGTGGCAAGAATAACCAGTTGAAGGTTTTATCTTACTGATTTTCACCACAAATTTCCTCAAATAATTATTTCCACTAACCCAAAGTTAAAAATGCAATTAAACACTGAAATGAAATCAATCACCCTTGCTTTTACAGCTGCATCTCAACAAAAGATCTTTAAAAAATTTTGTGAACTTTTTATTAAGTACTTAAAGATACTCAGCTTTCTTGCATTAGCCTAAGCAATACCTGTGAGTATATCAGAAAAAAACCCCCAAAAAAACAAAAAAAACCCACAAAACCACTATAAGAACTTTTACACTGTACCATTTGAAAATTTTCATGTCACAACCTAATCTTATGGTCACCAACTAAACCTTCTAAACTACACAAATAATTTATTCTTTAAAAGTTCTTCAGTTTAGAGCATATATATTTGAGTGTATTTTACAATATTTAATAACACAAGCAGATTTCTTCTAGAACAAAATAAAATCCAAACTGGTAAACATTAACACACAAATAGATCCTCAAAAATTAATTAAAAAAAAAAAACAGCAAAAATTGACAAGCCTCTACAGTGTAAACACCAAGGTAAAAAATATATTCACAGAAAAAGCACTTTAAAAGCCATTTTCAGTGGTAAAGAATGTGATCACACGGAAAAACCCAAGAAATCTCAAGATGCCTGTTGAGATGCCAACAAAATAGAATATATTTTGACCAGATTTTTAAAATCACTTTGCAACATGAACATATTATTTTAAAAATAATTCTCAAGTGTATATAAAAATGGGCACTTTGTGGTGAAATGAGCATTAAAATTTGAAGAACTAAGAACATTTCTTTGCTCCAACATTAAGAAACTACGCAATAGAACAAAACCCTATTCTGTATTCTGCATCACCTAGTACTGGTGTCCTAAGTGTGTGCCTTTAAAAAAAAGAGACAGAGTCTAATTCAGATATTAAATGCTACGATCAAAGGATGATAATCTGAAATTAAAATAGATTTTTAGCTTAATTAAAAGTCTGAACAAATTTGAAGACTTTAATCTTCAAAGTGAACAATCTTGTGATCAAAATCGCTTTTGACTTCAAATTGATTTTTTAAAACCCAATTCGTCTAACTATGAAATCTAACAAGAAAAAATATTAATCTTATTTCACTCCCCTTAATCATATAAGTTCTGAAAAGGTTAGTAAGAGCTGACTGGCAGTCTTCTCCCTTTTCCTGTTTTTGAAACTGATATAGATGAGATTTTCTTCTAACCTTCCTCAAAAAGTACTAACTATACAGAATAGCCAAGTATAGTAACCGGTATTTGTAGTATTTCATGTTCTCTCAAGATAGAACTTAATTCTGTCCCTTATTTTAGCATTTACAATAATTGCATATTCAATCAAGAAAAGTAACATAGGAGTCAAAGTTTACCAAATAGCTGGATAAACTGCTGTGCAGAATCCTTCAAGAAAATTATTTTACTGCAATTTCCACCCAAATAAAGTACTAATGTGAGTACCAGCACCACAGGTATTTTTTTTTTTTTTTAACAGCACCTTTCCTTGAAGAGCTTAGGTAGAAGTATCTAAATGGAATAAATCAGAATCCCCAATTAAGACCTCCTTAGTACATGCACAACCACCCAATTGTTCCAAACTCATTAGTAAAGCTACATATTTGCCAGAAACAAAGCAAACACTTTTCTTTGGATTAACACTGTTGCACTTAGGACTGCACCATATGGCTCATACTCTAGAAATATGCTACTACTGATACCAAATGCAACATATCCCAAACTTTTATGACTCTCTCTAAGTGATCTAAATAGAAGCACACTGGCTAGTAACATTCTTGATGATTTGTGCCAAAAAGAGTAAAGTCAAATTAAAAAAATGTGACCTAACAACTAAGCACTTCCTAAGATATTTACTGGCATCATCAGGATATGTCTTTATTCAACCTGTAAATTTATAAAGATTCTGATATTGCACACATTCAGTTTAAAGCTTATCAAAACTAAGGCAATGTATCCCCACTCCCTGGATTTTAAATTCATTTTGGATGACTCAAAAAAATCGAGAGAAATTGAAAACATTTTTCAAAAGCTCCCAAAACAGTTATATCATACTTAAAACAAAATCAATTGAGATATCAATTAATACTCTCAGGCAAATTTAACACATCTTAGCATTACAAAAAGTTATTTTCAATTATATTGAGGCATTTCTTTGCTTAGTCAAATACTGTTTGTGTTCAAGACTAAAATCTGACCTAAGCCAGGGCAGGCTGCCAGATTTAAGATAGAAGTCATTCATATCTTTATGCATGAAGCTGCCAAGTTAATGGGCTTTTCTGTAGATTCTTTCAAGCAAAGGATCTTACCTCATACATACATACATTCTAAGCACCAACTAAAAACAGAACTTGGGGCCCATTTTAATTCTGCATTGGTTATAGCTTTTACTATATATTACATTGTTAAAAAACTTATCTGTTTGAGATGACCTACTAATTCAGAATTCTTTGGAAACATCACAGGCAACTCTCAGGAGTATCCTTTTAAAACGGGTTCATGTTTTTGAATTAGAGTTTTATTTCTCTGCATCAAGCAGTCTTCTCTCTTCCTGTAAATTCTAAAATTTGAAAAATAACTCACAATGCTTTCTTTGGGCACTAATTTCAGTGATACCTGTAAGAGAATGTGGACAGTTTAAGGATTCTCAAACCTGTATCTAAAGTGGCACAAGAAGGATTTTAAACTTTTCCAAAGACAGGACAACAATTTTGTAGCACATTAAATTTGACAGATACTACATTTGACTTGGAAGTGAGGCCAGACTTATTCTGTCCAAATCCTAACACACTGAAGTCATTAGAATGAAAATAATGATGAAGTAGAAGAGGCTTTTACTTCCACGGAGACAAGGTGACATATGAAAACTAGATTAGATTTTCTTTCTGAACTAACTCAGAAGTGCTTTTGTTAGAAAAAAATAATGTTTTTTCCCTTGGATACTTGCTTTAAAAAGTTATTAATTCCTCTTTCATAAGAGTTATTAGAAGTCAAAACAACTAGATAGATTTCTACTCCAAAATACATTTATCTTTGGAAAACAAGATAATAGTTTTTAAAAAGAGCGCATTAAGAGAATAAAATGCAGTGATCTGAAATATGGATGAACATACTCACACAGGAAAAGTGTAAATATACAGAGGCATTCAAATACACATTTATAAAGAGAATGGAAAGGTACCTAAAATAGCATTTTTATATATAAAATTTTCATATTAAAATATTGCTCATAATAAATAACAGGTGTATTATGAATTCCATTTCCCTCTTAAACTTATCTTTAGTAGTTCACACTAATCTAAGGAGTTTGTTAATTTTCTATTGTTTTGACAGGTGAATTACATTAAAATATGTTTAATAAAATCACACTGTAACAGTAGTCCCACGTGTTAAGTTAAGGAGGGCCATTTAGTGATTATGGGAAGAATGATTCCCAAAATGAACCAAAATGATTAATCCTAGAAGACTAAAGTGTAATGATTTGCTTTATTTGATAAAGACGTTAAATACTGCCTTCAGTTCTGCAAATTTAATGACCATAAAAAAATGGATCATAACTTTCTTCAAAGTTGGCATGCCTGACAGACCAATAAATGGTAGGGGCATGAGGACAAAGGAAGTAAGTGTAAGTTTAGTTTAGTTGTTTATGGGCAGGTGTGACTTCATTCCTGTTCGCCCTACTTGCAGACATGGTAACTTGGAATAGTTCTTGAGAAGCTGTTCAATGGCAATGTGGCGGACATGGAGCTCTGAGGCCAAAGAATCTTTTTCTTGTACTTGGTGTGTTAACTCTTCAAAAACTTCTGTAAAGATTTAAAAGGTAGTCGAATACATAAATAGGTTCAAGCAGTATCTACTATGACTTATGGATAGAAGTGCCCATTAATACCCAGGTCTTTTAACCCCTCTATGAGGCTATGGAATCAGACTACTTTCATTTCTGAATTCTTCCTATGCTTGTATGAGTCTCAGGCAAGTAACTTAAACTACATTTTAATTTCCTCTTATGTATAACCTCGATATTGATAGTAAGCACCTCACAGGGCTACTGTGAGTAGTAAATGAGATACCTGTAAAGAACTTTCCACAGAATAAGCACTCAATAAATAGAAGTTGCTATTATAATTATTATTGTTACTATTATTCTGAAAGGATGTGTAACCAAGAAGACCACTGGCTGTGGAGTTAAGACAGGGGTTATGTAATCCTCAATCTACTATTAACTGAATGCATGATTTCTAGAAGCAACTTAATGTCTCTGAGCTGGTTTCCTCACCTAAATGGGAATCAAAAATTAAAAATGGAAACAATTGGGGAATTTGAACATTAACTAGTATTAGCATCCTATTTGATAATATTAAAAGAATACCAGCTATTGTTTTGTTTTGTTTTCTTAGGTATAATGAGGTTGTGATTACCTTAAAAAAAGGTTCTCTTTTAGAGAAAATCTTGGAAGTATTTGTGAACTAAACAGTATGTTGTCTGGGAATCTGCTTCAGAATCATCTGGGGTGGGGGTGAGGCGAAAGGAATGCATGCTAACAGAGACGAGAGAAAGTTAGCTATGTTTTGATAATAGTTAAACCTGGTGAAGATGGGCCGGAGGGTTCGCTATAGTGTTCTCACTACTTTTATGTTTGAAATAGTGATTTTCAAAAACTGCAGAAAACCAGGCAAATACAACCTTGAGGTACTGTTAGACAGCACACATACAGTGCCTGGCCCAATACAATGTTAGGAAGGGGCAGAGGTTCAGCTCAGAGATAGAGGTCTCCATTTTTACCGAAAAAAAGAAAAAACTTATTTCCTCTTTGTTTCAAAAAGAGGCTGTTTTCTGATTCTTTTTTCTCTGGTAACTCCACTAGGTTCTAATCCCATTTCCAAATTTAAATGCATATAAAGCTAATGTCCTGTCACAGGGGATTTTCTGTATCAACATTTTCATATGCACAAAACATTGACACCAATTCTTTACCCTGTATTTCCTGTCGGAGCTTTGCTTTCAGTTGCTTTACCTCACCAAGAGTCATGGAGTTCACTGAAACACGAAAATATGTTAATTATTACAACAATAACATGGGAAAATAAACCGTCCACATCACTAATAATCTACTTTTAAAAGAACAATTGCACTTATATGCCAATATAGAATTCACCAGTACTCTAGCTAAGAGTCCTTCATTAGCACCTGCAGTGTGCTCAAATCCTGACCATACCCACAGTGAGAAACATTTTACATCACTCCCAGTACACCTCCAATGGAATCAAAAGTTATGCCAGAGAATACTTGGTATTACATCCATTGGATTCTGTTATTTCCTTTTGTTTCAGTTTTTAAAATGTGCTGGAAGTCACTACTCATCAGTTTGATTATACTTAAAAGCACTGCATAGTTCGTGATGGCACAGGTGGAAAAACACAAAAGTACTGTGGCAATAGTTTGAAAAACTGATTTGTCTACCTCGTTATGTAACCTTAGGTAATTCACATGTAGAATCAAAAGCTGTATAAAAATATACCTGAAGTCTCTTTGAGCTCTAAAATCACTTAAAGTCAATTAAAATTATCTCAGCTTCTGTGAGTTTTTGCAGAAATAAATGCAAACTGAAAGGTTCACTTTTACCAACTTTAAAATAAGTGCACACCTTTGTCCTTTCGTGAAATGTCAGATTTTTGCTTTTGAAATGCCACCCCCGGTCAATTCGTGTTGTAGGGATGAGCAATGGGACAGTGTTTGTTTAGCCAATGCTTGACGATGGACTTCTGAACTCTATGAACTCTGAACTTCCTTCTGTTTGTCGATTCCATTTAGTTTAATAAACTTAAAATAGCAAGATATGATGGGACTGTAGAATCTGAATGCTTTAGGACATAATACGGAGTATTTCAGAGAATTGATGGGAGAATTTAAAACCCTTTTTTTTTTTTTCCCAGGAGGGTAGGTGGGAGGGGAGACGGCAGAGGAAGAGAGAGAATTTTGGGGGGAATGGGAAGAGAATCTTAGGTGGGCTCCACACCCAGCATGGGCTCCATCTCACAATCCTGAGATCATGACCTGAGCCAAAATCAAGAGTCAGATGCTTAACCAGCTGAGCCACCCAGCTGCCCCAAGACACTCCATTTTTGTTATGATGAACCTTAAATATGCTGTAAAATTCTACAGCAAAATTCTTAACATATCACATATCACATACATAAAAATGTTAAAAAAGCCAACAAAACTGCACTCTTTACTTTTCTCCCTATTTTACTTACATTCTTCTCTGCTGTAATGTGGATGCTGGGCCTGGACATTAGCCTCTGGATTAGAGATCAGCTCTTCCTTTTTCTGTGCCTGGTTGTGACTATGGGGCCACAATACACTATTGTGGCATAAAGCGGCACCTGAATCTTGCAGCACAGCAAGCCCAAAGTCTGTATTTCCCCTCTGCTCCAATATTCTTTGTGAACATTTTGAGAGGCCGCCTGTACTTCCATCTATCCACTTTGCAGAATACTTTGGTACTTGAGAGTCAAACTGTGGGAGTAATTTTTTATCTGGCTTATGCCTGAAATTTAACAAGTGATGCTGGGGATTTTTAGAACATTCAGAATCTGAATCCAGATCCTTATTTTGTGCATACTGTACAATCCAGTTTATCTTCTTACTCAAAATGGTTTTAACTTCTTCGTAAGTACTTTTTGAAAGTTTAGCTCGAGGACAATCCTGGTTTGCAATCAAATGGTATTTTTCAAAGCAGTCTTTATGTCCCCTTAATGATTTGGTGTGCAAGAGATTAGATTTTGGTACTCCTGTGGGGAAAAAAAAAGAAACAGAACACTTACCATTTTATTTTGTAAAGGTTGCAATAAGGGTATACAAAAATCTTGTAAAAACAAAGATGTCAGTCTGTGATGGTTTATAAATTAGAGGATAAATGCTAAAGAATATTGGGGTTATTAATATAAAATATGGTGTAATAGTTTCTGCTTCAGTTGAACTATATATTCAGTAAAACTAAATTCTTATGAAAAATAAAGGCCTTTCCAAGAAGGTTGGTCCAGAGGCATGTTATTGCATATGATATAAAAAAAGTACTGCCAAACTAGCAATTTACATTTCCAAAATGTTGGCCTTTACAGCATAGTACTTTCTTCACTAATCCTCCTCAAGTACAAACTTGCAAAACTTTCTATTATAAGGCTCAGTAACAGAAATGCTTGAAAATTTTCCAACAAATAGTTAATCATGTTCTTAAATTATTAGTTATGTTTCACTGCAGAAAGATACACCAGAACCAGAAAAATACACATTAATAAAAGCATCAGAAAATCAATGAACTGGTTAGATTTATTTTTTTTAAGAAAATGAAAGTATCTAAAATGTTTTCACATTTCTGTTTTAGCTTAGTAAAAGTTTATCAAGATAATTTTATCTTCTAGAAGAAACACATTACACACAATTATTTTTCATACAGCAGTAAATTCAATCTGCTAAGATACAATAACCAGTAGAATTCTTTACCTTAGAGACAATAACCAGTATACTTCTTTATACCTAAGAGATGTTCATTATATATCATAAGTAGTGGAAATATTCTTTTTTTTTTTTTAAGATTTTATTTATTTATTCATAGAGACACAGAGAGAGAGAGAGGCAGAGACACAGTCAGAGGGAGAAGCAGACTCCATGCAGGGAGCCCGACGTGGGACTTGATCCAGGGTCTCCAGGATCACGCCCTGGGCTGCAGGCGGCGCTAAACCGCTGCGCCACCGGGGCTGCCAGTAGTGGAAATATTCTTATCACACTTTTTTATTTTAAGATTTATTTAACTTATTTATTTGAGAGTGTGAGAGAGAGAAAGCACAAGAGTGTGGAGAGGGGCAAAGGGAGAGGGATAGCAGACTCTGAGCTGAGCACGGAGCCTAATGTAGGGCCTATTCTTATGATCCTGAGACCCCAACCTAAGCCAAAATCAAGAGTCAGATGGGATGGCCCAAGTGATTAAGCCACCCAGGCACCCCTCTACCTCCCAACTTTTAAATAGAGCTGAATTATGCCATTTCAATTTTTTTTTAAAAAGATTTTATTCATTCATGAGAGACAGGGAGAGGCAGAGACACAGGCAGGGGGAGAAGCAGGCTCCATGCAGGGAGCCTGATGTGGGACTCGATCCCAGGACTCCAGGACCACACCCTGGGCCAAAGGCAGGTGCTCAACCACTGAGCCACCCGGGCGTCCCTCAGTTGGTTTTTAAAATACAGATTATAGAATACATTTTCAAATATGCATTTCTTAATACAGAATACATTCATATATTTTTACAAATTCAAGCTATATTACTAAAGTGTTTTTATAATGAAGGTGAATAAGGGCGGGGGAGCTGAAAATTAATGCCTGCCAGAATTAACCAGTCAAAATCTGCTTAGCTTTGAAAACAGGGTAACTGGAGAGCCATTCTGGTGCTAGGTTTAAAAAAAAAAAAAAAAAAAAAAAAGGTTTTATCTGACTCATCAGAAAAAATTACATTCTGCACTCATCCTGTGTTTTAGAAATTGAAGCCATAACAGTTTTATTAACCAAACTCCAAACTCTGGGCCTAATAGTAAGACAATGAAGTACTTGCACTTTAATAGTATTAAATCAGGTATAAAAGTGTTTGTATTAATTTGTTCTAAAATGATGTAACATGCTGAGTTTGCCAAAACCAGTGCTAAATGGGCTACTGGTTCTTTCCTAAGTAAGCTATATGAGTACACCTTCTGGATAGTGATAATGTAATAAGCACATGGGAACAGCTGCTCTTAGGAGGTAAACTCAAAATATCTCACCATGTGTCTTCCACTGAGCACCAAAACTGAGCTTAAATGGACTCTCATACACATTCTATTTAGCCCTTTGCTATGTGTACTGCAGTTATGTGTATTTTTTTTAACCAGTTATTTTCTGATTAGGTCACATTTCCAGCAAAATTAAGATACATGCAAACTCTCAAAGCTCTATGTGATAACACAGTGTACACCCTCAAAACTGCATAAATTAATGCAAAAAGAAAGTTTACAAATCTTGATTAGAATAAAAAAATTGGAAGTTTTATTATATATATTTTAGAGATAAAAAGTAGCTTGTATAAATTATAGACCTATAAATAACTAGCTCCAATCTGATGTTTGAATCTAATACTACTGCTCTGGATAAAGAACAGGTAGGCAGAGAGAAGCTGAACTTGCTTACTTTATTAACTGGAAGATCTGCTGAAGAGAGATGCCTTACTCTGCAGCCTCCCTCCAGTCTCACTGTCAACACATGGCTACAGCCAATCCCTGAAACAGTCAACCGTCTTGTTCTCAGCCCACTGCCACAACTCTAATCCATGGAGCAATGATTTAGTTGAATATCTAATATACATAGCAAATTACAAGTTTCTCCTTCTGTCTATAGGAGAGCAAATTCTTTGGCATATAAAAAGGATTCTAAATTATGCTACAGAAATCACTTTCTGCTGTTAAATTTTGTGGGATTTTGGTATTTATTTAGAAACTTCAAATACTATATTGATAAAAGATAAACATTATATGAAATGATGAATTTCGTGAGGTACCCAGAACTTCAACAGTGGGTCAATAGATTTCTATTTGAAGAATAATGTGGGCTTTTAAAGATTTTTCTTATCCAATGTTCCTTCTTAATAATTTGTGGAATATTTTCTTTCTCCAAAAATAATTTTTCTTTTAATTTTTACTTAAATCTCCAAATGAATGCTAGGGACCCAGATAAGAACATGATTACATATAAATAATATGAATATAAATAATCTTTTGAGATGAACAGCAAATTGAGGACTACAATATTCAATTTACTGTGCAAATATATAAATGTAACATAAATTTTAGATTCTTTGAGACATTCAGGAGAAAATAAAAGACATGAAAAAAAAGTGTCACGGGCAAGAAGAGTTCTGAATATAGTAAACACTCTCATGTAGCTAACCCATGGGCTCCTCAAACAAATCCTGCCTCAACGAAATGTCTCTTCCTCCTTTCTCAATACCAAAACCCAAACCCACTTCTCTTCCTGAGTCTGCCCCCACCCCCAACTGCTCAAGGAAGAAACCTGGGGGTCCTCCTTGACAGCTCCTTCCGCTGCCCATCCCAAATGTTTTGCTGTCTAGCAGTACAACATCCCAAATGCTGCTTCACCTGATCACCCCTCCCATGACACTGCCATCTCCTATCTTGTTCTTACTCTAAGAAGCTTCTTGTAACCAATATACCTGGGTTAGCTGGTCAGACCGGACTTCACAAGTGCATCTTTATTGGTCTTTACCTCTGACTCCAAGTTCTATGAGAAAGAGGACCACATCTGTTTTACATGGATCCTTGGCATTATGCCTGGCACGTGGTAAGTACTCAAGAAAAAGTAGTTAAAACAAATAAAGGAAAATTTAAATTGTATTTTAAAAAACCCCAATAAAATTTATTACCAATTATCATTCAAGGTCTACTACAATGAACTTTTGCCCATCTTAGGCAAGGTAGTCAGGATGTACAGTTTTGCCAGGCTACTCAGAGGTTAATGAAAGAAAGCCATCCTCCAGTGAGGTTAGTCCTACATTTTGTTTAATGGGCTATTATTAGTCTGAAGAACTGATGAGTGGTGCTGCTACAGAAATGGCAATCTTGTGGCATCATTCAGTCTGCCAGGCAAAAACATGAACTTCTACTGAATTGCATAATTTTAATAAAATTTACATGCAGTGAATATATAAGAAGGCTGTTTATGTAAGCTGTAGCTCATTAATACCTTTAATTTCCTTAAGCTCTCTAAAAATTTAAAACTTTCAAAAAGTATACTAATACACTAGTTCATATATTTAAAGAAATTACTTTTTAGTCTAGCAAAGAATGTGAGTAGCCCACTTAATTTGTATCTGCAATATATGTGCCATTTGATAAACTCTTGAAGTGATTTTGTTTTTTCCACTTCATCAGGTCAAATTATTATAAAAGAAACAACCACTGCTATTATCAGAGATCCCAGTGAGTTTCCCTACTGACTTTTCAATTTTAATTGTATTTACAAGTGTAAACAGCTTTGAGCACTAATTTGTTTCCTCAGCAGCTTCTGAAAGGGAATGAACCTAAATGCAATTCAAGGAGTTGATATTTTTGAGGAGCTGAGTTATAAGAAGTTTCCAAACCAGTTCAACAAAAATTGCATTACAACTTCCTTACTAATAAAAAAGTTGAAGGCAATGTAATTGACATCCTATTACAAGAACTTCTTTAAAAACATACTTCAAAAATGTGCTTATAATTTTGTCATTAGGTCATTATTATTAGAGAACCAAGACCTTAATTGACAACCATAATTGCTTTTATTAAAGTATACTAGTTTCTTCTGGATAGAGGCCATTTAGAAACTTATATAGGCAGTATATTTCTATATCAACAGTGGTATTTTTAAAAAGTTAAGCTGTTTCTATTCAATAGTTTTCTTTCTTTTTTATCTTTTCCCACTTTTGTCCCTGATTTTGTTACACCATTCTCACATACTTTGAAAACCCTCCCACTAGCCCATCTGGCATGCTATCCCCATTTCTATTCTTTTAAGTCCCTCTTTAAGATCAATTTACTTTTAAGAAAACTTGGTTAAACCCATAGAAGAGCAAAAACCACTCAAATATATATACATATATATATATATATATTTTTTTATATATATATTTTGGTCTACCGACCACAGTGGCCCTTTTAAAAAAAGATATTTCCATGTTTTATATTTAACCTGCCTATCGTAGTAACATTTCCCC